TATCAAAAGTAAGCAAGGTATACCCTGGTCTACGACCGGCTTGCGTATATCTGCAAAGAACATGCGCTCATTATCTCACCTTAAAAAATTCACCGACAGCGTTTTCTTTCATAATTACGTTAAACTTTATAGAAGGGTTTATCGTAAGACTATAAACGCTGCCAAGGACATTTATTATAATGGGAGGCTAGCCAAATCCGGTAATGTTGCTAAAGAGACTTGGGCTATTGTAAATGACTTAAGGAATAAGACTGCTTCGTCTGGCACAGTCTTTAATTCACCTGAAGATTTAAACACTTACTTTGTTAATGTGGCTAAAAATTTAGTGAACACCATAACTCCTTCCCATGATTCACTTTCATATCTCCCTAAAGCAAATGAGAATTTACACAGTTTCTTCTTCACGCCCGTAGCATTAGATGAGCTCCGTAGTACAATTAAAAGTATTAAAAATAAATTCTCATCTGGGACTGATGGGTTTACTCTCAAAATGTTCTCTGAACTTCCGAAATGCACATTAATCTATCTTACTACTTTAATTAATGAGTCATTCCAAAAATGAGTTTTTCCAAACTGCCTTAAGACAGCAATAATTATTCCTCTGCATAAAGGAGGAGATAAAGATCAAGCTTCGAACTATCGCCCAATTGCTCTCCTGCCCACATTATCTAAGATCATTGAAAGATTGGTTAAAAAAAGGCTTCTATCTTTTCTCCTTAAATATAAAGTACTTTCTACCCATCAATTTGGATTTCTAAGTAACAGTTGCACAAATGATGCTATGTTCGACCTTTTTAATAATGTATACTCTAGCCTGAATAACCATCACTCTACAGCTACAATTTTCTGTGATTTCTCTAAGGCTTTCGACTGTGTAAATCATAATATCTTAATTAACAAATTGCAAAACTATCTTGGTAACGTATCAAACGTATCTTGGCAACAGAAGGCAGCTTGTGAAGATTGATACGTCTATGTCTTCTTGTAAGCCTATAGAATGTGGTGTCCCTCAGGGTTCAGTACTTGGCCCTATTTTATTTCTGGTGTTTATCAACGACATTGCAAATCTAGACATTAGCGGTAAAATCTGCCTCTTTGCGGACGATACTAGTTTCACTTGGAGCGGCCCAGATGTTACGGCACTATATGATACTATATCCAGTGACTTACGCACCATTAAATCTTGGTGCGATTCTAATCTCCTATGCCTCAACCTTTCAAAAACTAAAGTTTTGTCATAAAAAAAGTACTATACAACCTTTTGTACTTAATAACACCACTATTGACGTCGTGGACTCTGTGAGATTCTTAGGACTTGTTGTGGACAACTCTTTAAAATGGGGACTTGCACATCGAAGCCTTATCAAAGAAACTAAGCTCTGCCTGTTTTGCGCTAAGATCAGTGTCTAAGGAACTTAACTCATCAACCTCTAGAATGGTCTATTATGCCCTTTTTGAGTCGCATCTTCGTTATGCCCTTCCATTCTGGGGTACTTGCTGCGCGACAAAATTTGGTCGTATTTTCAAACTTCAAAAGAGAGCAGTTCGATACTTATTGGGACTAAACAGTAGAACCCACTGCCAGAATTTCTTTAAAAATTTCAAAATACTGTCTCTTCCTTCCTTATTCATTCTTGAATCCGTTTGCTTAATCCGCAAGCACATATTTTCTATTCCGGAAAGGCCTTCTGACAACTATCCACTTAGGAATGCGGAGCACGATATTTATCTGCCAACCCCGAGCTCAGAACTAGTTAAGGGCTCAATACTGTACAATGCCTAGAAAATGTACAATCATTTGCCTTCAAATATCAAGTCACTTTCATTCTTTCCCGCATTTCGCAAAGCTCTGAAATCATACTTACTTGAGAGAGCCCTATATGCGGTAAACGACTTTTTTGTTGATGTTTAATCATGAACAATTTAGAATTTTAATTTTAATATTTTGATCATCTCACACACTGGTTAAAGGTCTAGTATTTAATATTTTATAACTCTTGATTTTATGTTATTATAACATGATTTTATCCATTTACAGTTTTCCTTTTGTAAAATTTTCTAGATACGCCTGTGTTCTGCAATGTCCATATATGTTTTATTTGTAATTTTATGACGTATTTTTTTTTTGAATTGATTTGTATTGTATGACATTTTTTGTATTATTTGTATATTTGTTTTTGTGCTTTTTTTGTTTTGCTTTGTCGATGAAGCTGTTTTGGCTTTTTGAACAATAAAGCGTTGTTTTTTTTTAACTTTCTCTAAAGAGCCGGTAAGATGCAAACTGGTAGTAAGAAACAAAATTATTGAGCACAGTTTAGATACCTAGGAATAGATATGTCGCACTACCATGATCCAGAGAAGGATCTGAGAAGCCAGATAAACAGAGCAACGGCCATGTCAGGATGTCTGAGACAAATAGTGTGGCAAACCCTTTCATGCGAACAGACAGCAAAATTAAAATTTATGAGACCTGCATCAGACTAATAATGACATATGATATCCGAGAGGAAACACCAAAAGCATGTTAAGAGTCGCTGAAATGAAGACCTAAGAACCATAATGGGGAAGACTAGAAGAGACAGAATTAGAAACACAAATATCAGACAACAATGTGGAATACAGGACGTAGTGAGATGGGGTAGACAAAGAAAAAGACAATGGTTCGCACACGTAAAACGCATGGAACAAAACAGGCTACCACACATAGCTCTTGAAGGGAAACCCATGGGTAAGAGACAGCCGGGAAGACCTCCAAAAAGATGGAGACAGTTGGCAATCCATCTCCCAAGAACTCCTACAGAGTCAACCATAAAATTAACAGATTGAAAGATCTAAAATAAGTAAAAAAAGAAGAAGAAGAAGAAGATATAAATTTTATTTGTGAAACTGAGTCAAGAGACTCTCTGATGGACCCAGGATCGGGCAGTCGCATAGTATATCTTATACTGTCTCATCTTCTCGTTCACATTCCTTTTAGAGTAATGTGTCATTTAAGGCTGATTTACATTTGTCATTTTTACTGATAATCTTGGAGGAATCATCCAAATTGATAAATGTAGTTGTCCTTTAAATTTTGTGTTTACTAATGTTCCTGGATGCCTCTATACATCACCAAAAACGCAAATTTCTCCTTCCTTATTAATATGTTTAATTTTTTTAGCCATTTATTAAACAGTTTGCTTTGCATTTTATTATCAAGACATTAACTGTTAAAAAGAAAGGTAATTCGAAGCTAATAAATACCATTAAGTGCATGAGTCATAACCTAAAATGATCATAAAAAAAAGAAATAAAATTATATTTTTATGAAACCGCAATAAAGCAAAAGGAAATGCGAAACGCCAATAAAATAAATATAACAATATCGTCCAAGCCTTAATTGAATTATTAAAAGTTGAAATTAATTTTCTTAAATATGATATAGCTGAAGAGCTAATTATAATTTAATTGCTTCTAGTTAGGGGAATATTTTGAGGAAAGTTTTATTTATTATTACTTTGTCTTTTATCGCAAATTAATTACTCTATTAATTAAAAGAGACATAAAAGATATATCGAAAACAAATATAAAGGGTGAGCCTTAAATAAGTGCAAATATTATTAGAGGTAGTATATTTCGACTCTAGAAACACGTCTATGAGATTTTTTCGCCAAAAAAATTGGAATTTTTTTAAAAAAAATTAGAATTAATTTTTTAATTTTTAGTTAAAGAATCTTATAAGAATATCTTTAAAAGAAGATCTAGAAAAAATCCAGTGGTTCTCAAAATTTAATCGAAAAATCAATTCTTATGAAATTTTCAAAATAAAAAATCTCGGTTATGTTGGACTTATTTGAAAAACGGTAAAGAGAAAATATGTTTGTCTGTCCTAAACATCTTAACTTAGAATAGGTCCAAGAATCACCTCCTTAAATATTAGAATATCATTAAGAAACACCCTGTATTCCAACTAAAGTGTCCAAACTATTTTTCACTTGCGACAAAAGCTCTTAGTGTTGATAGGATTACGATTTTATATTTTCAACAAAATCTCGTTTGATAAGTTATACTTATAAGTTACGACTTGAAGAAGATACAGAAGCCAAATAAAAGACTAAGAAAATCTCTTTTTCCTTTAAAGATATCATTTAGTTCTCTTAACCAGCGAGATCGACAAGACAGAAACAGCTCAAAGCAAAGTGGAAAAGAACGGAGGATGGAGAAGTCAAAGAAAAGCAGGTAATTTTAGGCTTGTTTGCAGGAAAATCTCCTAAGTAAGATAAATTAAGGGAAGCTGTTGTGTTCAGTGAAGTAAATACGCTTAAACTCGAAAGATATTCGTGTCTTTGTTAAGAATATTTACATTTACAATTTATTTATGTACAAGTTGATTTAATTTAGCTCAAATACACATTATGTCAATTAAAAAATCTAGTTTAGCTTCAAGTTTAGTTTCATTAAGAACCTCGTAATATATGTGGAATATATTCGTGGTTTCAATTAATGTAGAAGTATGTTTTTCTAATTTCAATGTAAGCATTCAGTATGTTAAAATTAGTGGTAGTACTTTTCAATTAGTGGAAAAAGTTAACAAACTTTTAAGTTTCATTCTGAACCTCGCAATTAGTGGAATAAATTAGTGGTTTCAATGGTTTATACTTTTTTATTTACGATCATTAACAATGTCTAAAAAACACAATTAAAACTAATAGAATATCCTAGCAACAGCTTGAGTTAGTCAGTTGTATCCATAGAGAAAGCCTAATATTTAGCTTATAAATCAATCTTTGAATAAGAAGACTAATGCCCACTTGCACCGTTTGTATAAACTTTGTTTAAAGGCTAAACAGTGATTAACTATAATAAAATATGTATAATTAATCACTGTTTAGCCTTTAACGCCTGATTTAATTTTTGTTCGAAAAAATGGCCATTATACACATTTTAGTTACTTTAGGAGTTAATTAAGACACACTGTGGAGCAAAAATTTCATTTTTTCTCAGACTTTTCGAAAAAACTATGTGACCATATGGTAACACTAGGCGGTTTGCCTACCCAGTTTTGGAAATATTATGACGGAAAATTTTTACATACATATGTTTATTTAAATTTATTATAAATACATTATTTTAGGGTCAGGTAACACCTATACAGTATGGAATATGAAAAAACAGTCAATACAAAGTCCGACATTGCACTTTTTACACTTTCTACGCATTGAATTGTATACGAGTTCGTTTCTCACATCGCTGTCCGAGTCCCAGTAAAACCTCTTTCCTGGTAAATCGTTATACCCAATAAGAATGAGTATTCCAATGTAGCATTTCATCTCTTCAGTAGTCACACGTGGATCAGGGCAGTTTTTGAACAAGGCATATCTAGAGGTTTCCTCAATCAAAATAGACAGAACTTCGTCATCAATGAACATCTCAAATAACTGTACCGGAGACAAGTTTTGATACTGCAAATGATTACCATCTGGAAAACTTTGGCGACTTGGCTCCAAATCGCCCTGGATCCATTGGAATTCTTCTAACTTAGCTGAAACGTTTACTTGTGGCATGATGTTGTGCAATATAGGTGAATCTCGCTGTGACAGAGCACTCTCTTGCGAAAGTATTTGATCATCAGAAGTGCATCCACCAATTCTATTATTGTCCAGAAGTTTTACTTCAGCTTGAGCTCGAAGTTGTCCTCCAGATAGGTTGTCCACAAATCCACCCCCATCTTCATCTCCCGAGTCCACATCAGTCAGGACGCTTGCATCGGGTGGTTCAATAAATATTTCATCTATATCTTCATTATAGGCAATTTCCAAAGCCTCTTGAAGTGTAAAACCTCTCCTAAAAACAAAACCGTTATTAGAGCAAAAAACAGGTAGTACATGCGCTTAGCGTTACTATATGGTAACAACTTAATATATGCACCTGTATCTGAGAAGACATAACCTAAAAACTCCAACCGGCACAATTAATACCTGACTGTATGTCTTCTCTTACTTACTGACAAATATAAACGCCATATTTTGAGAATATCAAAAGTTATACTTACTCAAACCTTGGTTCCATGGCAGTTTTGTAGAACAACAAAAATTACTAAACGGAAAACTGTCTCAGGGTCATAAATCACACACAAAGTAGAACTGTAACTCTTCCGATGCTTATTAGAACCATTCTAAAGAGACTCATGGCGCTATCTATCCGACAGAAGTAGAAGGTTGGGGACAGGCGTCAAATATAGGGAGCCTTACACTTGTGACCATACAGTGACGCTAGGCGTTAATGGGTTAACCAAAGTTTATACAAACGGTGCAAGTGGGCATAGAGCTACATTCGAAATCAATTCGCTGGCCGAGTGCCACTTCGACGTTAAAGTCGGCACGAAATTAACCATTCACAACAAATTTCAATTCGAATTTTGCGCATGCGTGTTTAAACATTCTCCTGACATTTTTTAGGTTAGTTGTTGGTTTTGATTTTGGAAGAGTCAAAATCCGGGACAGTTGTTAATTAAGTTTTCCAAGTTTTTATGTTTAGAAAAAACAACGTCATTTATTGATGATTTTTTTCTAAAATGTGTCTCAAGCACCCAAAACCTTTTCTCGCCATTAATATGGGTCGGACACCCCATTCTTTGGGTTTTGGTAAACCCCTTGGTTTTCGGTGAAGCTAATTATTGAGCTGCAACAATAATTGCCGTTTTTTTAACAGCAAAGCCACAAGTCCTAATAAAATAAGAATAGCGTCCTTCACTCATTTTTCTTTTAATAATTATTTACTTTTCACAGGAAAATGGCTTGTAACAACGACATAAACAAAATAATTATTAAAATTTAAATGTCAAATTTGTCATAATTGTCAAACGAAAATTCCGTGCTGAAGTGGAAGTTTGCAGCTTGATGGCAGCTTGCAAGCTTTCAATCCAAATTCAACTTGCACTCTGGCGTCGAATTTTGCTGTGAATGAGTACACTGAAGTACATAAGATAAGCTTGTGTGCCAAAGTACGACTCGGCCAGCGAATTGGTTTAGAATGTAGCCTAAGGAAGAAGCATAATGCTATCCATGTATTCATGCATGGTAGGCGGAAAAAGGACTCTAGGATGGGGATCCTTGATAGTTCTGTTTGATGATTCATTTGACACATTTGAATTTCATTTGAAATTTTGTGGATTTGTCAGTCTTTACGGAGCTTATTTTATGTTATTTATTACTTATTCTACTACTGATAGTTGTATAAAGGTAGTAAATCTAGATGGAAATTGTGGCAGAACTTAAATTAACAGTGACACTATCGCGATTTATCGAAAAAGACTCTAAAATAGTTGGTTGTGTAGCGTGCGGTAGATCTCGGCAAAAATCGAGTGAAATAATGGAACAACTTTTCGCTAGTAAGTGACTACATAATATACATACGTGTAGTAGATCATTTATGAAATTCACTTAAATTAACTAATTATATATATGTTTTTCTTGCATTTTTGCTTTTATTTATTACTTGTCAAAGATTAGACGTCAAAGAATTTATATACGTCAATTTGACTTACCTGCTTCAGTAGCGTATCGGATGTTTGTGTTAATAAATAATTATTAAAACTTATCTATTTTTATTATAATCATATGTTTTTATAACAATTTTAATAACTACCAACATTTATTCACAACGTAAAATAAAAAAAAAATACTGAGTCTACCCCACGTCTACCCTACATCATAGTTTTACATTTTTTAAATAAAATTAGAACGGCACTGATAAACCGGAATTTAAGTCGGCCATATTTGAGTCCCATCGCGGTGGACATAAGATTTTTGATATGCTCCTTCCTTAGTCTTCTTATTCAAAGAAATCAATCAACTTTTGATTTCTAACCCCAGTTTCTCTTGACTGAAAATAATCAAAGGCCAAAATGACATTCCTCGCAAATTTTGAAGTATAATTAGTGAAAAAGTTAAAAGTTTGTTAACTTTTTCTACTTATTGAAAATATCTACTACTAATTTTGACCTTCTGAATGCTTATATTGAAATTAGAGGAACAAACTTCTACGCTAATTGAAACCACTAATTTTGAAGTATTGAAGGAAGGAATTGTTATACTTTAACATTTATGATTTAACCTGAAATGGAAGTAAAAACTTAATAAGCCTAATGGAAAAAGTTTTATTGATTAAAAAAGGAGATAAAAATGTATAATCCTCAGAGGTAAAGCTACTAGTAATTAATTTTTTTCTGGTAAAAGTTTAGCCGTTTATTTGCCTCTCACGCGGGTATAAATCATCAAACTAGTAAAAAATTAGGCCCTAAATCCGTCCTAATCCGATGGCGTCAGTTTTAAAAATATAATGGGATGCAAAAAAAGGTGAACCGTCCAACGCGGATTATTTTGTCCTAAATTTATTGCTCTATGCACGACGTACGATTATATTTCCTAGAATTTGGTAAATAATGTAAAAATAACGTTCAGGATTGTTTTAATCTCATACACTGGCAGAGATCTTAAGGGATCAATAATATTAAATTATCAATCCAATTCATATATACTATTTATTAAAGACTTCTTAATACCAATTTAATATTTTTAGAGCCATATTTTAATTCCGATTTAATAATAATAATAAATAGTATATAAACCATGATCGAAAAAAAATGGCGTCTAGTTGGCTTGGAAATGAACATCGATGACATTCCCCATAAAATTTTACATATAAAATGACAGCGTTTTTTTTTTATCATAGTGAGCAAAGGCAAAAAATATTTATTTGGAGTTGCTTAAAAACACGATTTCGTCTTTTAGTCCGACATTTACTTTAACTGCGGTTTATAGTCGGAAATAGTATTTTAACAAATATATTAACGTGAAAATTAAATACCTTACAGATACTCCCGTACTAAGCACAGTATAAATAAGTTCTTTTCTTGTAAATAACTTTCTTATCGTTTGCATTTTATGCCCTTGATGTTTGTTTAGGGCTTTGTTTCAAGTCTAAATATTAGTGCCTGACTCTATGCCTCCTTCATCTTCCCCTAGGAGATGCAAGACCTTGTCGTTGGTGGGGAAGCTCCTGGTCAGGTGCTGGGGAGAATCCCCTCTAGCACTTGGCTTGGTCTAAGAAGCATCTCACTCATCGTCTTGTCCCTGACTGTAGTGTCGTGGCCAGGGAATTGCACCAAGACATATAACGATACCGGGCGGGGCTACGTACAGCCTCAACCTTGGGGCACCGGGGGGCACCCCATTGTATTTTACCCCTTACTTCTACATGCGGGGCTCTGTAGAAGTGGACCGACTGTCCCTAGCGACTCATAGGAACACTATGAGATCTGATAATAATAGTAATATAAACATCACCGGTGAAGCTGTGGGGAAACCCCCTAGCGACACTGGGAACAGTAACAATGAAAGTTCCAAGGGGCCAAACCCAAAGAGAACTACAGGAGAGGTGGCTGACACTTGCGTGAGACCATCCTCCGCAAATGGCATACAAGCTACCACCTCCTCCAAGGGTCGGGAGCCTACCTCCTACATCTAAACCCAACAGGCGACACAAGCTACCGTTTCGTCTACCCGGCCTGGGTCGTAGCTCCTCGACTGTGAGGGACACGGGTCTCCGTAGGAAGTCCTGGGACTGTATGATGAGTTATAACTCAAGAAAGGGGGACACAATAGATCTCTAAGGTCGCAGAGATTAACCCCCCTCCCACTTATTCTAAATTCTTATTCTATTCTAATGCCTCCTTCATCGATTGCATTGTGATCCGATTCAATTCTCACGATTCTCTTTTACGGGTCATCGTTCAAATGTTATGGATCCGTGCTGGCCACGATTCAGTTAAACGAACCGTATTCTAAACAGTGAATCGAATCTCACGATTCATTTTTAATACTGGTTCAAATGAACGACTCGTTCAATCTTTGCCCACCTCTAATTCACATCATAAACTTTGGTATACAACTACTGATTTCAGAGATGGAGAACTAACCTCTGTAAAACCGTCTCAGGCACTAACTTTTGTCGAAGAGTTATAGCTCAAGAAAGGAAGACACAATAGATTGGATAGTGTGTCCTTTAACCTAATATCCTTTTACTTCAACAGAGTTCTTTATTTATCGTTTAAGGCATTATTATAAGTGAATTTATTTAAAACTTCCAGTAACTTTTAATCTTTAAAAAAGACCCTTTTACAAAAAGAAACTTTGACTAATTCAAATAAAACGTCGAAAAACACAGAGACCTTTAATTGAAAATGTATTTTGACCGTTCGCTAATTACATTGTCGACAAATGACAGAGAAATATCGAAGCTTCGAAAAAGAAGTTAATGAGTTGAGAAAGATTTGAAAATAATCTGCCTTTGTTTATTTCAGAGCAAAATTTCGGTCAAGGCGAGTGCAGACGTTGAGATTTATCACTTTGTTAACCCAGTTAGGGACTGGAGGGTCAAAAACACGGTGGAAAAGCTTTTTGAAATACTTTGTAGTATATTCTAGTCCACTCTAAATATCAAAATCCATTTTGCTTATGAAGTTTTTCTCTAAATTGTTAATAAATTAATTAAAATAAAATGAAAAATATACGAAATAATATAAATGTACTGATTTCTTTCGAAAATCGACAACTATGAAACTATGAACCCTTCCCGGACACAAACGGTACAGTGTGAGACAAGAAATTGTAGAGAAAAACAAGCCGTATAACATAGGATACAACATTTTAATGAACAGTGCTTTCTATAAAATCAATAAAATTAAAAATATACGAAATAATATAAATGTACTGATTTCTTTCGAAAATCGACAACTATGAAACTATGATCCCTTTCCCGACACAAACGGTACACTGTGAGACAAGAAATTGTAGAAAGAAACAAGCCCTATAACATAGGATACAATATTTTAATGAACAGTGCTTTCCATAAAATGAATAAAATGAAAAATATACGAAATAATATACATGTACTGATTTCTTTCGAAAATCGACAACTATGAAACCATGAACTCTTCCCGGACACAAACGGTACATTGTGAAATAAGAAATTGTAGAGAGAAACAAGCCCTATAACATAGGATACAACATTTTAATGAACAGTGCTTTCTATACCATAAATAAAATGAAAAATATACGAAATAATATACATGTACTGATTTCTTTCGAAAATCGACAACTATGAAACCATGAACCCTTCCCGGACACAAACGGTACATTGTGAAATAGGAAATTGTAGAGAGAAACAAGCTCTATAACATAGGATACAACATTTT